GCTGATCGATTCGGAACAATTTGCTGTTTTTCCATATGGCCCCATTGCCAGTGGAGCAATGAAAAAGAATAACAACTCTATGTTGTTTCAAGTTCTATATTTATTCATGCTATTTATACGCCCACAACGCATCCCTTTTGGTGAGAAAAGTCGAAATACTTTGTGCATCTACTTATCGCTAACCAAAGTTGTGCACTTTTCCACTCCATGCTCATAATCATCCTGGTTTTAATCATTTTACACTGTCGAAAATACAATCCGCATCATAAATTCCTTGTTCGCCAAACTAAACTAAAGGGGAACTAAATATTAGAAGAGGTTTTGCACAAATAGCGCTTACCTGTGGTGATGTCGTCGTTATTACACCTTTGTTTCCATATCACCTGCCTTCGTTTTTACTCTAACTGTTCGCGCTGCTATCCATCATCGCCATCACCTCTCACGGTTTTGGTGGAGATTTGACTTGTTTTTGGTGCTATTGACCTGTACTGTCTCAGTATCTTATCCCGTTTTTTATGCCTTAGATGTAACTCCTACTATATGCTTGTGCGCATTACTTTTGTTTGGCTTTTGGGCAAGGGCAGGATGATGTTGCGAGAGTGATGTCGCTTACCTCGCGCCCTGGTCGGGAGTCGAATTCTTGATCGAATCTCCTGAATTGTTCAATTAGTACTGAATTCGTGCTGTTGGTAAAGGCATTGATTTTTGTTGTACCCTCGCCTTCAAATAACCAGAAAATTGTGCAATTGCAGAAATTGACGTGGCATTAACGTGGCATCGATTCAAGAACATCTTTGAGCACACGTGACGTCACCTTTTCATCGAGAATTTAGCCACGTGTGCCACGTGGATTTCTGGCTGCATGAAACGGAGTGTACATTGTGGCTCCCGCAAGCCAATTTGTAGGCTAAATTGCATTCAGATGATCGCGATTGCACTGGGATTCCGAAGGAGAATAGAATGCGTGTCACACTCTAGACAGGGATCAATCTACACATAATGCTTTGTCATTTTTATTTTTAACAATTTTCATACAACGAAATAGATGAGCTTTGGTAAATCGTTGAGTGGGTGAGGTATGTTCCCTTGTCTGACATTAAATCAAAGACGACTACCTGTCCAGCTACCCATCCCATGGCTTTGATTGCTGTTTTCTTCGCTGATGTTGTGTTTTCTTTGGTAAGTCTCGAGTTTTAAAGTCATTGCGATTGTATCACAATGAGGATTAGATTTGAAAGGCACACATAACGGTAGGTTCATCGGATCAATTTCTCCCCTGGATGTAATGCTGGGTTATCGCTGTAAAATTGATGCCGCTTTTTCCAATCAAAACACATGCAAAGAGAGCTCGAACCTGAGAGCAAACTTTCGTGGACACCTGAAGCAACCACTAAGCCATCGTTGCGGTATCAGTATGTTGCAGTGCACTCACCTGAAATTGAGGCACCACTCATTTGTTCGAACCAAGCTCAGGATTGAGCCTAGACCATTCGTAGGCTTAAGCATAAGCCAAAGTGTATGCATAAGCTTAAGCCTGCCCGAGCCTAAGTCTAATCTTAGGCTTTAAGGGATCGCGCAGCTCTGCTGACCTGACCCCAGGGGTAAAACTGAACATCTCCACTGTTTCGCTCTCCTACTATTAAAGTAGACACACTCATGCTCGTGTCTGCCCTCACCTAAAGTGTACCGTCTCGTGGAGTGTTTCTTATTTGTTTCGTAGACTCGCCAACCGCTGAAAGAAAAAAAAATCTGAAATCTTCAAACTTTGAAAATCCATCTTCTGTATGGAGTGCTTTGAGCAATTAATTTTTCTTGTTTTATTACTGCAAGACCACTAGCACTTGATCCTCCATTTTCAAATCGAAGTACACACTTTCGCTATGCCTTTAAGCTCGAAAAGGAGCACTTCAAAGCACATATCTAGTTGTGTGCGAATTGTGCGTAAACACTCTTTCTTTCACACTTTTTCTTTATTCACTGAGGAGTCAATTAGCACTTGCTGCTCCATATCCGAATCCTTTCATCCCGCTTTTTTCCATCGCGAAAAACTTTCAAGAAAGTAAATGCTCCATCAGAGTTCATCAAAATTCAACCTGTATGGCGAAAAGACGACTTATAAGAGTTATTGTTTAGCCTCTTCGAAAATGTCCAAAGCTGGATTTTGATTTACATCTTCAAGAAGACTTGAACTTTTTCCAGATCACATTGCACTCTTGATCCTGTTTTGTAGACCTCTAGCGCATGAACAGGCTTGTCTTCGAATATGACCCTGCCAGTTCTGTTGGCACTATGTACATGTTTTTAAGCATTTTTCTGCAGAGCTCTTCGGTCAATCAATTTCAACACTATTCGGTCCATAGTGGGCATTGTCATATGCACGTTTCGATTATAAATAGGAATCATTTTTAATTTTTGTTGCTCCGTAATTCTCTCTCCATTATTAGCTCCTTCTCCTTCTCTCCTTTAGTTGTTACTATCCTATACACCCTTCCCTCAAAATCGGAGCATGTAATACCTCACTCGGCAGGGTATTCCATCCGAATCGCGAACGCAGCATTCTGTGCAGCATCTGAAGGGTCGTGGATAAGAACTATACGCAAGATTTTTCCC